GAGATCCGTTCATGTGGCTGTGTGTAGGTTAGTGTGTTGCTTTTTATGGCTAAGTAGTATTCCATCACATGACTATCACAGTGGGTTTATCCGTTCACCTGCCGGTGGGCATTTCAGTCATTTCCATGTCTGGCTATTATGAATACAGTTGCTATGAGCAACTGTGTACAAATCTTTGGATAAAAATCTAGGAGTGGAATTGCTAGATCCTTAACGTTATAAGAAGCTGCCAAGTTGTTTTCCCAAATGGTTGTACCATTCTGCTTTTCCACCAGCTGCTCTACATCCTTGCCGGTGTTTGTTATCATAAATCTTTTAGTTTGAGCTTTTCTAGTGAATGTAGATAGGCATCTTATTGTAGTTTCACTTGCATTTCCTTGATGACAAAAGATGTTGAAAATATTCATGTGCGGGACGCCTGGGTGGCTCAGTAGGTTAAGCGTCTGCCTTCGGCTCAGGTCATGATCCCAGGGTCCTGGGATCGAGCCCCGCATCAGGCTCCTGGCTCAGCGGGAAGCCTGCTTCTCCCTCTCCCTCTGCCTCTCCCCCTGCTCGTGTTCTCTCTTTCTGTCTGTATCTCTGTGTCTCAAATGAATAAATAAAATCTGTAAAATAAATAAATAAATAAATAAATAATAAAAGTTTTTACAGGGGCACCTGGGTGGCTCAGTCGTTAGGCATCTGCCTTTGTCTTGGGTCATGATCCCGGGGTCCTGGGATCAAGCCCCGTGTTGGGCTCCCTGCTCCGCAGGAAGCTTGCTTCTCCCTCTCCCACTCCCCCTGCTTGTGTTCCCTCTCTCGCTGTGTCTCTCTCTGTCAAATAAATAAATAAAATCTTTAAGAAAAAGTTTTTGTAAATTTAGCTTTTACATTTAGGTCTAGGATCCATTCCAAGTTAATTTTTGTGTGTGATGCGAGGTAAGGGTCGAGGTTCTATCTTTTTCTTTAATCATGGTATCCAATTTTCCATTACCATTTGTTTAAAAAACATATGCATAGGTTTATTTCTGGATTCTCTATTCTGTTCCACTGATCTACGTGTTCCTCCATAGAATTATTTTCGCTTTACAGTAAGTCACAAAATCAGGTGGTGTGGGTTCTCCAACTTTGTTCTTTTTTTTTCAAAATTGTTTTGACTTTTCTACATCGTTTGCATTTCCATATACATTTTAAGATGTTTGTCAATTTCTACAATAAAGCCTGCTGGGATTTTGATTGGGATTGTGTTGAATTTCTATATCAGTTTGGAGAGAATTGACATCTTGACATTATTAAGTCTTCTGATCCATGAACATGGTACATCTCACTATTTAGGGCTCTTCCCGCCTGCCCCACCAGGGCAATCCGTACTGATCTGCCTTTACTCAAACCACTCCCAGGCTCTTCTCTGGAGGATTCCAGACCCTGGAGCTGCCCATCCTCGGTTTTCCACACCTGGCCTTGACCACTCATGACTCTCTGTGCGTCTTCTCTTTCTTCCACTTGGTTTCCCTGGATGTGCCTCCATGCATTCTCCTGGGCTTTGAGTTTTGCCGTCCACACTCCTGAAATGACTTCCCGCTAATGTTGATGCTCAGCCAAAGTCCTGAGGTCTAAAGCACTCTCTGTCCCTGGTCCTGGAACATGAAGTTCGTTCATTTACTCCACAGTTGACACCTATGGTGTGCCTGGGCCTGGACGGGGTGCTGGCCTGGGTGTTCGGCAAGCCGGGGTCCTGTGCCAGCCTGTCAGTATGGTTCTCCATGGCCACGGGCAGTGTTGCTTGGCAAGGAGTGTGATGGAGGCGTGCACGCTTTGTGTCTTTTCACCTTGAAAATTAGGACGGATTTAATGATGGCCTATGGAGATAAACATTTCGGTTGAAGAATACGTTAGCCCTCTTTGGCCTTAGTATAGTGAGTACCCATTTCAGTGCCCTCCTGTGGAAGCCCACTGGACACGCCAGCAGGTGTACAGGCCGGGCTTATCACTCACTGCAGTGAGGGGACCTCAGGCAACGGGCAGCCGGGGGATCACAGGACTGGGCCTAGAAAGGACCTACCGGAGGTTGGGCTCCCTTGGGTGAACTGGGGACAGCTACGGAGGCAGGGCTTCACTCTGGATCACATGCTGTCAGGAAAGGGGGTGTCCTGTGCCTGGGTGTCTCAATACCTCTTCTTTGGAAGGAGGGCAGAGCAGAGGGGTTAGCTGTCTGTAAGCAGCACAGTGCTCCATTGGTCTTTACGCCTGGACGTTGCCCGTGTCTTGTCTTTGTCCACACGTGATTACGGAGGGAACTTGTCTGATGCTGGTGTTGTGTGAAACTGTTTATAATCTGACCAGCAGAACACCAGCGCCTGGATCTGAGTGCCGGGCCTGCTCCTAGCAACACTGGGGCTTTGCTCATAGGACCAGGCCAGCCTCCAGAGGTTGGAGGCTGTTTCCTTCCTCGGCTGGAAAAGCAACAGTGCTTCACCCACAATTGCTCCCTGAGTCAGCGTGAGCACCTTCTACATACTCTTCCACCTGGTCAGATTCATAGCTGCCCCTCCTTCTCTAACCTGGGAGGGATGCAGCAGTGAGCAGGCCACGTTCCACCGGCAGAAATGCCCTGCCGGGCACACCTGGGTGGCTCAGTCAGCTGAGCGTCCGACTCTTGGTTTTGGCTCAGGTCGTGATCTCAGGGTCGTGGGATTGAGCCCCGTGTCGGGCTCCCTGCTCAGCGAGGAGTCTGCTCGAGATTCTCTCTGCCCTGCCCCGCCCGGCACTCTCTCTTTCTTTCAAATAAAATAATCTTTAAAAAAAAGAAAGAAAAATGCCCTGCCTGTCAGCCTTGCCCCGGGCCCAGCCTGGTCCTTCTGTGGCGCTGCAGGCCACCTCCTGATGCCCATGGCCCCGGGCCCTGCTGTGGCCGCTCTGAGCTCCTCTCTGGCACACCTCCACGGCCCCTTTCCTGCTTGCTTCACCTGTTCACACCTCATGCCTTCTCCTGGACATTCTGTTGCTGGGCTCCTCTGGAGTCCCCTTTACCTACAGGGCCTCGGCTATGTGCGGCCCTGGGCTTCCCTCTGGCAGCAGACGCCTCTTCTCTCTACCCCCTGGCCTCCTGGCCGTCGCTGTGCCCCTGCACCACACCTGCAGACCCTCACTGCCCCCAGGGGGCCTCCCCCCAGGGTTAGCTTAGCGGAGAGTCTGCATTCCCGGAGCTCCTCGAGAAAAACACTGTCCTTGCCTGTTGCACTCAGCGGTATTATTCCTGAGCTCCCTCCACCTCAACTGATGTTTTTGTTCACCATGTCAACACTCTGGGGTTCTTCTCAGCCTGAAACCCTGATGGGTCTGTGAGCTGACATGGAGCAGATTCCTGCATGCTTAGAGCATGGGTAGGGCAGGAAGTCCTGGCCAGGGAGCTGCACCTGCTCGAGGAGCCAGCCACCAAGGGGTGGGGGTGGGGCTGCATTTCCTGCCTGGTGCTTAGCAGGTAGACACAGCTGAGGGGCGCGGTGCCACAGACAGCCACGGGGCAAGGTGAGGTGGACCCCAGGAAGGGCCCAGGGGTGCATGCATCCCTGCCCCAGGGCAGTGGGGCCTGCCTGGGTCTCAGGCTGTGCAAGGTCAGGCCCGGGGGTTGAGCAACGAGGGGACAGTGAGAGGCCAGCTAAGCAGCCAGCAGGCAGATGGCAGGGCCCATGGGCCAGGCAAGGATGTGCACTTCATCCACTGGCAACTCTCAGAGGGTTTGAAGCAGGCGGGTGGTGGGATCTGTGTTTGGAAATAAACCTAGCAGGCAAAGGGCGGGTGGTGTGAATAAACAGGTGAGCATGAGGCCTTCCATGCAGCTGAAGGCGGGCAGGGCAGAGAGGGGACAGCCCTGGTTCTGGCCGGGCGGCCGGGGTGGAGACCATGGATGGGAGAGGACGCAGCAGCAGCAGGTTTGCGGGGAGAATGGACTTGGGGCAGGTGGGCCACAGCGGAGGTGCCCATAGACCTTGGCAGGGATGCTGGCTCGCAATGTGTGAGTCCCTTCACGGATGCTGGGGTGATAGACCAGTTACAAGGGTGGGGGGTGAGGGGCAAGGGGTCCCAGGAGAGGATTCTCAAGCCACACTAGATGGAGGGTCCTGCAGAGGGGAGGCTGTAGTGAGCCAAGGGCAGGGAGGTCCTCTGACAGACCTGGGCCCTGGACAGTGCAGGAGCCCCTCTGTGGGAAGGAGGAGGATGCGGACAGCTAGCTGACCTCTGAATGTACCTCCTAGAGCCAGGGTGGGTGAGGCAGCAAGGGGGGTGCTGGCAGAAGGTGTTAGAGGCAGGCTGAGGGACCCAACGGGCCAAGCCCTCAAGAGTCTTTGTCCAACTTCCCTCCAGAAGCTCCAGTCTGCAGGTTTCTCATGGGGAGGGCAGAGGGATCTGTGGGGCCTTGTCTGAGCCAGGCCCAGGTGGCACATCAGGTGCCCACTGATGGGCAGAGCCAGGAAGAGTCTGCTCTGGGGCAGGTCCATGGCCTACGGCGTCCCCAGACCCAGGGCAAGATGGTAAGGGTCTCATAAGACCCTCCGCCATGCTGTGCGGTTCCAGGATCGAGTGGCAAAGTCAGGCCGTCTATCACCATGTGAACCAGGCACCAGGCTTAAGCTCCAGAGGCCTCCAGGTCCCTGTCCGTGTCCTTGCTCGGTGCGCGCAGTGCCTATGACGGGGCAGGGGAGGTGGCAGGGAGGGTGATGGCGTGCACACGAGGAGGCCGGGCTGCCCTCCCTTCCTTGAGCTCCGCTCCCGGCAGCCTAACCTGCTCCCGTCCCTTTGCCCCGGTGGTGCCACAGCCTCCTCCCCACCCCCCAGAAAAAGCGGCCAGGAGCAGGATCACAACGTGGAGAGCACAAAGTCCCATTTATTGGAATTTTAAAGACAGCAAGACGAGAGGAAGGCCTCCTCCCCCCCTGAAATAGTCTCATCCTCTCTGCCCTAAGGGCTCAGCACGGGGACAGGGCCCTCACCCCTCAGGCCCCCCAGAGGGCAGCACTCCAGGGCGGGGCGGGGGGGGGAATCTCTATGCCAGGCTGGGGGTGGGGGCTGGAACAGGAGAGGAGACGTGCACCCTCACCTCTTGGCTCGACCCCTCTCCCCTGGGACCTGGTGTTGCCCCCAGACCCTGGGGTGGGCTGGCAGACAGGGCTCATGCAACAGTGAGTGGGCAGGAGGTGGCCTGGAAACCAGGCCCCCACTGCCCTTCGGCAGGGCCGGAGGGCGAGAGGGGGCCATGCTGGCCGCAGCGGGTCCACACAGAAGTATCCGCAGTGTACACACAGGAGGGTCGGGGGGGCCCCTTGGTCCCGGGCTAGGCCCTGGGGGGCGCAAGGGGAGGTGTGACGGCGTTGCCCTAGCAGGGGCAGGGCCCAGGCCAGCCATGCTGCCCGAGTGGGGCCCCGAGCGCAAGCTACTCCTTGGCGCGGCCGATGATGGTGAGGATGTACAGGAAGATGTTGATGATGTCCGTGTACAGGTTCAGTGCGGCGAACACGTACTCCTCCGGGCTCAGGGACAGCTGCTTGTTTCCCAGCAGCAGCTGGGTGTCCACTGCCAGGAACTGGAGGCGACGGGCCGCGCTGGTGAGGGACAAACCCGCCCGCCCGGCCCCCCTGCCCGGGCCCCGCCCGGCCGCCCACCCCCGCACTCACGCAGGTGAAGAGCAGGGCGCCCAGCGAGGCGTACACGATCTCCAGGATGCGGTTCCGGATGAAGATGCAGAGGGTGGCGAAGATGACCAGCACCACCAGGCTCACCAGCAGCACGCCCATGCACGAGGTGAAGTCGTAGCGAGTCTGTGGGCACGGGAGGACAGGAGGCCCTGGGTGCCGGGCCCCCGAAGGCGTTTGGGCCCTGGGGGCCAGCAGCCCCGCCTTCAGGGGCCCTCACCTGCATAGAGAAGATGACCACCGTGAAGCAGACCGTCGTCGTGATGCCTACAGCCATGATGACCGCCTCAGTGTTGTAGAAGCTGGCGATCATGCCCACCATGTAGGACAGGCTGACGGTCAGGATCGACTGTGGGGACACGGAGCCTCGTGGGGGGGGGGAGTCGCTGCCCACCCACCCACCCCCCCCCCGTGGCTGCAAAGTGTGGTGGCGGGGGTGGGGGCTGCAGGGCCCAGGGGCTGGGGTTACCAGGGCAACGAGGTTCCAGGGATGCTTTCGCCGGAAGTCTCCACAGCAGCTGAGGACAATGAGGGAGATGAAGAAGACAGCATAGGAAACATAATACGTCCACACGTTCTCCCGGACGAAGCCCTTCACCTTCCCAACAAAGGTGAACACGGCCACAGTGGACAGCGTCACAGACAGCTGCAGGGTCAGCACCAGGAACACCTAGGGCGGGAGCCAGCTCAGAGCCCTGCCCCGCGGGACCCCTGCCCCCCTCCCCCAGCCTCCTTCGCCCACCTTCCGGATGAAGGCCTGGCGGATGCTCTTGTCATCCCAGTTGGTGGCAGGGAAGTCCTGGTTGTCATAGTAGGACGGGGGACCCTCTTCATGGTAGTTTCCATGCTGAGGTGCTGAGGAGCAGGACGGGCTGGGTCAGCACCACGGGAGGGCATCTGGAGCCCCTAGCGCCCCCCCACCCCCCACCCACTCCTTCCCCTCTACTACTCACAGCCAGGGTCCTGCGCCGGGAAGGCCTGTGGTTGTCCATAGGGGTTGGGGGGAAAGGGGCTCTGCGGATACGGCCCCTGAGGGTAGCCCCCTTGAGGGTAGGGACCCTGAGGGTAGCCTCCTTGGGGGTAGGGGCCCTGAGGGTAGCCTCCTTGGGGGTAGGAGCTGGGGCCCTGGGGGTACCCTGGCTGGCCATATGGAGAAGGCTGGAAGGGGGCTTGTGGGTAAGGGGCTCCAGGGTAGGGAGGCATGGAGGGCGGGGGTCCCCCAGGATATCCAGGGTTGGGGGGAGGATAGCTGTCTCCAGACACCAAGAAACTCTTTTCATGGGGCATGGCCTCAGATTCTGTGGTCTCCCCCTAGAGGAGAGAGAGAGAAGTCAGCTCTGCAGTGACAAGTCCCCAGAACCAGCCACCGCCGCCCCGCCCCACCTGCTGCAGGGAACCAGGACGCAAAGGGGGGCATACATGACTTTTGCCCCCAGGGCCATTGGCAACCCCAGAGCAGAAGGACCAGGAGAGCCAGTGGGGACCCGTTAGCTGGGCCTGGGGCTTCGGAAGGAGCCGTTCTAAGACGACCCCAAAAGTGGAGGAGGGGACAGGCAAGACGATGACTTCCGTCAGCTTCGGGATTTTTTGGTTTCGGTCGTTTCTTAAGAGCAACTGGGGAGGTTTATGACCGCTGCTGGCGTCTCCCGGGTCAGAGCTCAGCCCGGACCGGGCTGGGGGCGCGGTCAGGGAGGTGTGGGGGTGTGCCCGGACCCTCCCCTTAGCCGCCCTCCCCTTAAGCAGCTTTAAGGGGCCAGAGCCGGCGGCTATTTCTATCCCAGGAAATCCCCAGGCCATCTGTGAGCAGCGAGAGCCCTGACCCTTGTCCAAAAGCAGGCCCGACTGCCCCTCGCTCCCAAGGTGGGGGGCAGCAGGCCTGGATCGGCTATCTGGAGTGCCTGCCTGGAGGGTACGCCAGAACAGCGGGGTGCGGGGGTGTGTGGGGGATGGAAGCGACCAGAGGGCGTGCGGGGGAACAAAGCAGGCGAGACAGCGAGGCGGGTGGTGGGGGCGGCGGCCACGGAACCCGCACCGAGGGCGGATGGGCCCCGCTGCCCGGTCGGGGGACTCTCGGGACACGGGTCGCTGCCGCCCCCGCCCCCGCCGGCCTGCCGGCCGCCCGCCAACCGCCCGCCGCCGCGCCTGGCCCAAGCGGGCCGAGCGGGCCGTGAGCCCCGGCGGGACCTACCGACTAGCCCACCGCGACGCCGTGGGGCTGCGCAGGGCCCGCGCGGGGGCGGCCGGCCCAGCGGCCGAGCGGGTAGCCACGCTGCTGCGCTCGGGCCAGGGACTCACCACTCGCGGGGCGCCTCCGGAACGGTGCGCACGGTGTCCGGTGCGCGACCGTGCGGTCGATGGCCGCTGCGCCCGCACCCACGCCCGCACCCGCTCGGCGGCCGGCTCGGCTGGGCCTGCGCCTGCGGCTCGGGAGTCGCTGCGGGGCCTTGTGACGGGGCGGGGCCTGGGGGCGGGGCAGGGGCGCGGGTGGGCGGGGCGGGGGCGGGGCCTGCAGCCGGGGAGACGCCGCGGGGTCTTGCGTCTGGGCGGGGCCTGGGGCCGGGGCCGGGGCCGGGGCCGGCCCGGGGTGGGGCGGGGCTGGCAGGAGGAGGAGCGGGGCTGCGGGGCCGGGCTCTACCGGGAACTCCGGGGTTCTTGCGGTTGGGTCCTACCCGCTGTGGCCGCCTTGCTGGCTCCTTTCCGAGTCCCAGGCCTGCACCTGCGTCCCGCACTGTCCGCCGAAGTGTCGGCTTGGGCCGTGGGGGCTGAAGATCCTAGAGGCAGATGCCTGGCCTGGCTAATTTGGTTCAGGGAGTGAGGAATGTATTCCCTAAATCTAGGATGTGCTAAAGCTGCCAAGGATCCTCTATGCTTCCATGGTCTTAAAACATCACTTTCGCTTTTCTCTCGCCCTTTCATCCGAGTCTATCCCAAATCAAGAGGCCTGGTGGATTTAGTAGGGAGGGTGATTGGCCATTTTGAGGTTCCCAGGGAGAGGCCAGTGGGCGTAGAGGACCACCAGGGGACTCTCTCCACACCCTCGCAGCCTGTGAGCTGGAGCTGGTGGGCTGGACTGAGGAGTCAGGCTTGGCCAGCACCTCCCGGTCAGCTAGGGGCTCTTTGTAGGCTCAGGGGCTGGGGCTGGGGTGGAAGACTCTGCAGGAGGGGCCTGCCCGAAGGAAGAAAAGCAGCGAGGAAGTGGTCCCCTAGCCCCAGCTCTGCAGGCCCCACAGTATCACTTTGGTCTTCCTGTCCCAGGCCTTCTGGCTGCAGAGCAGGCTCAGGAGTCCTGGCTGAAGGTAGGGGCTGGGGCAGCTCAGGGCCTGCAGGGTGTAAGTTCTGAATGTGCCCCTCCCCCACCGTGATGGGGGGACTGTGGTGCCACTACCCTCCCCACCCGTATAGGCCTCAGGGTTGCCATGGCCGAGGTGGGGGTGGGGGGCAGCAGTGGTGCTCAGTGGGCTGCCCCCTGACATCCCGGAGGGGCTGCTCACGCCCTACTTCGAGGACGGCCGTCGCTCTGGGGGAGGACCTGTGTTGAGCTGGCAGAGCTTGGCGGAGGGGGCACACTCACTTTTCAGAAGTCTGCAGGTGAGGGGGCTGGTGGAAGGGGCAGCCTGAGGGCCCTCTGCTGGCTGTGGGCCCTGATGCCCCACTCCACCCCTGCCTGCAGGTGCAGGGAGGGTCTCGGCCTAGGAGGGGCATCTACGGCACTGGCTGAGCCTTAGGCCAGCCCCACCATGTGCCCCTGCAAGCCTGCTGCTCCCAGGACTGCCCCCCGACACCGCCCCCCCCCAGCACCTAGAGCAGCACAGCCAGACCCTGCTGCGTGCCACGGGGCATCCAGCGCAGCCCTGCTGTGGCCCTGACAGTCCCCGACCAGACTGGGTCCTGGCCCAGCTGCCCCAGCCCCTTTCTGAGGCAGGTAAGATGCAGGATTGGGGCAGATGTGCCTGTTGGGGGGGACGCTCAGAGCCAACCTGCACCCTCCCCCACAGAAGTCTGAGTCCTGGAGGAACAGGCCTGGGCCCTGGGCCTGGAAGGGACTGAGGTGTCCCAGGCCCGAGTCGTGGGTGTGGTGGGGGCTATTCCCCCTGAGGGCCTGCTGCTGCAGGAGCTGTACCTGGAGACTGAGCTCCGCAGTGGCAGGGGACCCCTGGGGGGCCTTCGCAGCCTGCCTGGGCACCTGGGCATGGTTACATCCTTCCAGCAGCGGCAGGGTGAGGGGAGTGAGATAGACTTGGTGGCCTACCCCTCCCTGCCCCTCAGAGCCCTGACGGGCCTTCTGTCCTTTCCTTTCCTCCAAGTGGCAGAGTGAGTCCTACGGCAGGACTCCCAGGGTCAGTGCTCAGAGCTGAGCCTGGTCCCCCACTATGACGTCCTGGAGCCTGAGCAGCTTGCCAAGAACACCGGTGGAGGGGACTACCTGGTGCAGTTGGGGCCAGGGGCCACCGAGCATGCTCTCCTGGAGGCTGGAGGGCCAGTGAGGACATTGAAGGGTGCAGGGCTGGGGACACTGAGGAGGCTCCGAAGAGGAGCCAGGGCAGAGAGTAGCCTCTCTGGGGACGGGCCCCCTGGGTCTCCTGGACAGGCTGAGCCAGTCAGCTTGGGGCTCGTGGGGTCACCGGGACAGGGGGCTGGTGAGCCGGAGCCCGTGGGGTCTCCGGGCCCAGTGGGTCCAGGGCGATGGCCACAGGGTCTCTGGAACAGGTCTCCCGCACACCCTGCAGCCCCAGACCATACAGGAAGTGACCAGGAGAAGGTGAGGCTCCCGGGCCCCGCACATCCTGGCCCCCCGACCTCGCCTTCTACCCTGCCTTACACTCATACCTGTTTTGTGGCCTTGTGCCCTCCACCTTCTCTCCATCTTCTGCCTGACTTATCCTGTACCCTGACTGGGCTTGGCCCCTGAACCCACATCTCTCCCAGCCCTCAGAGGAGGTCTGAGCACTGCGGGCCACGCCGGAGGGCCCGGGCGGGAGGGCTGGCTGGCTATCTCCAGAGCTGGGGGCCGGGCAGAGGACTCCGAGGAGCAGCCAGAGCGGGAGTGGGCCTCCAGGGCTGGGAGGGGGCCCAGGGGGCCGCAAGAGGAGCTGCACGCTGTGGTGAGCCCCGCGGGAGGTAGAAGAGGAGCTCGTGGGCAGGGCAGCTGGTGGCCTGGCTGGTGGTGCCCGTGGCCTTTGGGCAGGATGTGGCGGAGCCGGACCGGGCACTGGGGACTGCCTTGGAGGTGCACGTCCAGGAGATGGTGGGGTCCTGGGGTGGCATGTGGCCTGCAGAGCTGGGAGCCCGTCTGCAGCCATGCCATGGTGTGAGTACTGCCCCTTGGGGTGACAGCACCGTTCTCCAGGACTCTGGGACCCAGCCACCTGGCAGTGCCGCTGGCTGGCCCCCCCGCATCAGAGTTTGGCCTTTCTCTTGGCAGCTTCAGGCCCCACCTGTGAGCCTGCACCCCAGCTTGGGGAGGGTGGGGCAGGCCAGTGCCCTAGGCATGGCCCGGACCCCCTTTGTCTGCAGGTGCCTCAGCAGAGGCTGAAGGGTCCTGGGATGGGGTGGGGTCTGGCCGAGAGTGGCAGGAGTCCCGGGTGGTGCTGCGGGTCTGCTCTGACACCTGGCGGCTGCTCACGGCGGGATCCGCATGGTCCAGGGGAGCCCACACTGTCTTCCTCAGACAGAGCTCCTGGCAAGAGCCTGCGGGCTGTCACTAGCCTGTGTCAGGTTTGGGGGACGAGGCCCCGTGGGGCTCGCTAGCCCTGGTCCCTGCTCTAGAGGGTGGAGACAGAAGGGCCTAGACGGTAGGGGGGCCCGACGATCTGACAGGCCCGAGCAGGGGTCCCCGTTTTCCTGATTACAGCTCAGAGAGGACCGAGGGTGGCACTGCAGACCGGGCTCCTTGTCTGAAGCATGGGGATGGGGCGCCATCTCGTGGCCACTTTGAGGATTACTCTTCCCGCAGGTAAGGTACCTGGCGCGGTCCTGGGGATCCCCCCGCAGCCGCTGCCCCAGCCTGGAGAGGGCTTGCTGCACTATTTTTATTTGCTAAATGTTGCAACTCTGAGCATGGGTGTGTTTCATTTTTTTAAAACACTTTTTTGAGATTTTATTTATTTATTTATTTGACAGAGAGAGGGAGAGCGCAAGTAGGCAGAGTGCCAGGGAGAAGGAGAGGGAGAAGCAGGCTCCCTGCCGAGCAGGGAGCCCGAGACGCGAGACGCGGCGCTCGATCCCAGGACGCCGGGATCGTGACCTGAGCCGAAGGCAGACGCTTAACCGACTGAGCCACCCGGGCGCCCCTGTGCGTGTGTTTCAGACAAACACTGGAGCCACGGCGGGGGTGTGGGGGGCGGGGGGGGGTCAGAGTGAGCCCCCGCCTATCAGGCAGGGGGAGGGAGAGGCTGCGGAGGGCCTCAGGAGGCGATGGGGGCGTGGGGGGTGCGTTGCACGAGCAGAAGGAGAGGCGGAGGAGGGGCTCTGCTGGCGAGTGAGTGTGAGGGCACTGCCTGGAGCGGGCGCCGAGTGGGTCGAAGAGTGACCGCCAGGTGGGGACGGGGACCAGCGCAAATGAGCTGGTCAGGAGAGGAAGGAGGGCAGGTTGAGCGCTTGCCGTGTAGACAGGCAGAAGGAAGGGGCCGTGCAGAGCCCAGGCCAGCCAGGCACTCCTGACTCTGGACGCACAAAGCTGGGGGTGGGCCGGGCAGCGGCAGTGACCCCCGGCGGGCAGCGGCAGAACTTCCGGCCCTCCCCAGGCTGCCCACACCGCTCTTTTCCTGCAGGTGGTCGCTCCAACTTTAGAGGGGGTCCCTTTCCTTCGGGTTTGGACTCAGCAGTTCTCACTTCTGCTCCTCGGAGACAGAGGCACCGACGCGGGTCGCCCGCACTCCCCTGGCGGGTTTTGTTAGCTACACGCTCTTGATTCCCCCAGTGGGGGCCTGCGCGAGTTCAGATGGCACACGTGAACTTGCTTTTCATTCACAGCTTCGGAGACTGTCTCTCGACTTGCTCCACGGAGGATGGGGAGAACAGGCCCCCCTTCTCCTCTCCCTCACAGTTTGGTCGGTTGCATTATTTTTATTAATGTCATCAAGGTTGACAGGTGTCATTTTCTATTCTGTGATTACCCTGAGGCTCCGCGCTTGGGCTGTACTTTGGTGGATATATAATGATAATGGAAAAGCATTTACCATTGAACCATAGAGGAAACAAGGAAATGAAATCCTAGTTATGAAAACCGTGTTGCATGAAAGAGAATTATGCGAGAGTTCAAAGACCAATGGCTCTTTCTTTTTCTTTACATAGGCTCCACGCCCAGTGGAACTCCAAGCCCAGTTGAACTCATAACCCTGAGATCAGGAGTCACAGGGTCTACTGACCGAGCCAGCCAGGTGCCACAGGACCAATGGCTCTTAATATTGATTGATTGGTTGATTGATTTGACAGAGAGAGACACAGCAAGAGAGGGAACACAAGCAGGGGGAGTGGGAGAGGGAGAAGCAGGCCTCCCGCCGAGCAGGGAGCCCGATGCGGGGCTCGATCCCAGGACCCTGGGATCACCTGAGCCAAAGGCAGACGGTTAATGACTGAGCCACTCAGGTGCCCCTTAATTTTTTTTTTTTTACTTTCATTTTTTCCCCCTGTGTTGGTACTCTTTATGCTCCCCTGTCCCCTTCCTGCACAGATTCTTTATCTGTTTAGTAGAGGAATCTCCTTGAGTGGCTAGTCAATATCTTGGAGTTTCACATTTATTTTGCCTTTTACCATTAGAGGTAATTTGCAACTGTAACTGGTGTAAACTTGTTTTCCAAATGAAAGTTGCTGTGTGTTTGAGACATTTCTTCTAAGTTAAATAAGCACAGTGAGATCTTGCATATCTTAATATGTCCTTATTTTGTCCTCATTAATAGTTTCTGTGGATATAGTGTTCAGGATCAAACTATGTTTTCCTTCCAATCTCTGAAAGACATTACCCTTTCTCTTTCCTCTTAAAAAACTTTGTTTTTGGAAAGAAAAAAAAATCCATTTATGGTCTCTTAGCATCCAGTAGTATTGGTGGTGAGCATGTGGAGTTTTTCCAAGATTTTTTTCCCATTTGCATACTGATTTAGGGGTGTGTGCGTGTGTATGCATGTCTGGATACTTTCGGAGTTTTCTTTTGCTTTGAAAGTGGGAGTTTCCCCAGCAGGTAGGTGCCGGGGATGTATGTTTTGCCATTGTCCTTCTGGGCCTTTTATGGACCCTTCCCAGCAGCAGACGCCCCCCTCAGGGCAGGGAAACTGTGCTCCAGGGCTCCCTCACTGGCTGGGGCTGGCCACCTGTGCGCTGCCTTCCCAAGGAGGTCCTGCGGGCAGACCGGGCACCCCTGTGCCTCCAGCCTCCCCATGGGGCCCTCCCAGTCCCCATCCCCTTCCTTTAGCTCTGCGCTGGGGGGCAGTTCCCTAACTTCACCTCCTGACCTCATCATCCAGCCTACCCACTGGACTCCACTCCGAGATTCCATTCCCAGTGTTTTCAGACTGGTTCTTCTCACACAGCAAGTCCTGCTGCATGGATGTAATTTCTTTTGCATCCCCCTGAAGAGATGAGTTAGAATTCCTTCAGAAACTATTTGAGCCGCTGCACTGGCTCCCTCGAGGCTGGCTGTTGGTCTTCCCAGTACTGAGAGGTCCAGGACATCTCTTGGTGTTTCAAGGGAAGTCCTGTGGGCTGTATAGGCACCTAGCTCAGCTTTGCCCTGCAGAGGCCTGGCTGTGGGTGCTCAGTTTTGGTGAGTGCTTGGGTTTGTCCACCTGCAGGCCTCCCTGGAAGGACCAGACTTCCCTGGAGGGAGCAAGGCTTCCCTGAAGCTGTTCAGTGCCACTTGGGGCCCCATCCAGGTGGCTAATGTCTGCCCAACGTCTGCAGCTGGACAAAGCATGACTGGAGCTCTGCCATCTCCCCAGACCCTGAACTCCACCAAGAGAAGGCTCTTGGTTTCCAGGCTCAGGTCTGCGGCGGGGTGCCGAGGGGGTAGGAGGGTCTCCTGATAGCCTGGCCCTGAATGGCCTTCCAAGCGTGGAGCATGTGAGTGTCTGCTGCAGCAGCAGGTCCGAACCCCACGGGGAGCACCTGGAACAGCCCCCTGAGAGGCGCCTAGTGGAGCAGGTTCTGTACCATGGCCCATCAGCGTGGGCAGTCCCCGACATCTGTGCGCAGGGCTTTGACCGTAGCTAAGGAGGCCTTAACAGTGAGGCCAGGCGGTGGTCTAGGGCTCTGCTGACCCCGGATGACCTTGGCCCTCGTCTGTCCCCCTGCACGCACTCTATGGGCAGGAGCCGCCCCCCTGTCCCTGCAGGACCACTACTTGCCCCCCAACGCTGATGGCCACAAGGTGGTGTTCAGAGCATGGGTGCTGACCGGTGACTAGGGGTAGGGTCCTGGAGGCCTTTGGGAGCCCTCCCCCCCGCCCCAAACTGCCGGCCCCTGGCCACGTGTTCCTGCGCCAACAGCGCAGTGGACTGCCTCCGTCAGGCCAGCATCTTTGTCATCTTTCATGAAACTGAGGCGCTGCCCACCCACCTCATTACTTGCAAGCACGTGCCCCGGGCTTCCCCAGGGGACTCCTCTGGGCACTTGGGCCACTTCCCAGCCTCCTAACCTCCCCCCCCCCCACCTCGGCCCAGTCCCTGGCTGCCGGCTCCCTGGGCTCCCGCTGCGCCCAGCCTTACCGCCCCCTCGGCTGCCTGAGTTGCCCCTGGGGGCGCCCTTGCCTCTGGCTGCGGTGCGTGGACAGAGGCGGGTGCGGACCTGGAGGACCAGGGCTGCGTCCGTGCTCGGGGCCGGTACCAGCCGGAGCCGGCCCAGCCACCAGGGGTCAGCAGAGCCCGGGAGGAGGGTGGGCCCGCTCGACCCCGTCCGCCGCGGCCGGACCCAGACCGACAGCGAGTCTGTTGTTTGAATAAACGTCTACGTGAAACCAGGTGGCGGGGCCTACGGGACCTCTGGGTCCGACCTCTCCTTGGGAGGTGGGAGACCTCGGCGTGGCTAGGGGCGAGGGCCGGCTGGCAGAGTCCGTGGCTCCTTTGCGGCAGCCTTGAGCAGCGGGCCGAGGCCGGACCCAGCGCGCACCCCTGCGACCCCACGGCGCCTTAGTGACATGCACGCTCCCCAACAACGTCTCCTTGCCGACCGGCCCGCCCTGTACGCGCCGGGAGGGCTGCGCCTGGCGAGAGCGGCGAGCACTAGTCGGGCGCTGCCGGCCGAGCGGAACGCGCGCTCCAGCCGGTTGCCTCGGAGAGGCCCCGGCCCGGCGCGCACCCGGGCGCTGCGACCGAACGGGCGGCGCTCGGTGGGGGCCGGGGCGGGGCTCCGGGCTCGCCCCGCCTGCGCAGCCTCCGCGGCTCTCCCGGCCCAGCAGTCTGGCTGCGGCGGACGAGCCTAGCCGAGCTGAGCCACCAGGCACGTAGGACCGGGGCCGGGATGGAGAGGCGCGCAGCGTGCGGGAGCTGCGAGGTGGGGTTGGGGCTCTACGGCCACAGGCGTCCCGGAACTAGGGGCTGCGTCGCGGCCCATCCTCCCTCCGGAGGACACCCCCTCTGCGCGCCCAGGACTGCGGAACTGGACGGGCGGTGCCCGGAGTGTGGGCAGGAAAGGCTGCTGGGAGGCGCGGCTGACAGCGGGGCGCAGGCCGGGGGGGCACTGAAACAGAAGTGCGGGTGGATGAGCCTGTGGGAGGCGCGGCGGGGTGACCCCCAGCTCCGTGCCCGCTGTCTCCTCCCTAGCCCTTAGCCCCAGGGCGGAGGAGGCACAGAGTTCACATTGTGCCCCCACTCTACCCGGCCCTGCCGGGACAGAGCCCCATTGACCTCTCGCACGCCAGCGCTCTTGGGGACACGGAGCTGAAGAGCGGTCACGCGTGGGTGTGCGGGTGTGCTGGAGGCTCTGGGCGGAGGCTGGAGGGGAGGCCCGAGCTCCCGCGGCCCACGCCGCTGCGGCTACAGATATTTATAGGCCTTCACTGCGGAGCTCAAGGTGGGACTGCGCGGGGCCGGGGGTGGGGAAGGACGGTGGAGAGTCCTAGAGGCTGAGACAGCTTGGAGGTAGAGCGCCAGTGTCCAGGCGATGGGGCCGGGACCCTTTCCTGATGGCGGGGTGTGGGAAGGGAGTGCGGTCAGTGCTTCCTGCTGGTCGGGCTTGCCTGCTGGTCTGAGGTTTACAGGGGACGTCCAGCTTTGGGACCGAGCTGGGGGGGGGGCGCGGTTGGTGTCTGAGTGACGGGGTGAGCCCCCAGGCTGACAGTGTGGAGGGGCCAGTGTCCTGGTGATAGACAAGGGAGTGAGGTCAGTGCTGGGGGGAGGGGTGTCTTTGTGTGGGTGTCCCAGGGGTGAGCTGGAGGGAGTGAGGCCAGTTGTGGGTGGGAGCAGAGTTGTCAATGTCTGGGTTGGGGGGGATCAGTATGTGGATGAAGTGGGACACAGGAGGGGAGTGGGTGTCAGTGTCTAAGTGATTAGGGTGGAAAGGGTGCAGTCAGTGTCTAGATTAAGGAAGTGTCTGGTTGGTGTGCAGTATTCCCCTAAACACAGAGGTGTGACCCCCCCTCCTGCTCCCTCTCCAGGAGGCCATGTCAGGCGAGGACCACGAGGGGCGGCCAGTGGCTGAAGATGCCAACGGAGGCAGTGGCTCGCCCAGCCCTGGGGACACACTGCCCTGGAACCTGGGGAAAACACAGAGGAGCCGGCGAAGTGGAGGGGGCTCCGGGGGCAATGGGAGTGTCTTGGACCCTGCTGAGCGGGCAGTCATCCGCATTGCAGGTAACGCTGAAGGGCCTTGTCTGCCCAGTTTGGACATTAGCACTTGCTTGTTGACTGAGCACTTGCTGTTGGCTACCTGCGGGTGTTAGGACTGGGATGGGAGGGTGATGTGCTGGTCCCCAGCGGACTTTTCTGTGGCAGGTGATTGCCGGCAGCACAGCGCCACCTGCTGGCCCCCTCTTGTCAGCTGCAGGAGGCCTAAAGTTGAGGCCTGAGGTTGAGTCCCCCGGCCATGGTGCCATCATTGGCTCATGACAAGGAGGCTGTGCCCAGATGCCATGATACTTTCTTGGGCTTCTGGGGCAGAGCCGCCTTCCAGGCCCCTTGCTCTTGGTTGCCACCACTGGCAGTGTGGGGAAGCATACGGGAGCGGGAGAGGAGGGGCCACCTGGTTGGCTAGGGCTGCGGCAACGCCGTGAGCCACGGTCCTGCCTTGGCCTCCAGCAGCTGCCGATTTGTGGAGAAGGATGGGAAAGGCCCAGCCAGAGGCCCCTGAGAGTGTAGGGTGGGGCAGCTGGGGAGTGGGCCCTCCCCCTGGGAAGTGGGTGACCCAGGCTGGAGGCCATCAGGCAGGCTGTGCTGGGAAAGGGAGGAGCCAGCTGAGGGTCCCGTGCCCAGGCTGCAGAGTGCTGACCCCACCCCCCTGAGGACAGAATGAGGGTGAGACGCGTGGAGGGCAGGGCTGACCCGGCAGGTGGCTGGGAGCGCACACTGAGGCCGGTGGGCAGAGGCCTGAAAGGCCAGCTGCTGAGGGAGGACAGGACTGCGGGCAGCGAGGGGCTCTGTGGGAGGGAGGACCGGCAACAGCTCAAGGAAATGCAGAGGCTCAGGACAGCTTGAGGGTTGTGTGGGTGTATCACATATGGAATTTAAAGGAGGATTTTTACCCACGTGAAAGGAAATCATGAGTGTCTTTCCGCCCCCACCCCTCCCCCCGGCCTTCTTCAGCATCAGCCCCTGCCCGGGGGTGGTGGCCTTCAGCTCTCCCTGCCAGGAGCTATGCTGCAGCCAGGGCCCCAGCTTGATGATCTCAGGACTGACCCCTAGCAGTAGGGTTTGTGGTCACAGCGTCTGCAGCAGCTAAGGTTAGAGACGGACACTGCCTCTGCGCTCCAGAAAGGAGGGCATCTGCCCGCGCTGGGACACAGGGTCTTTGCCCATTTCGTGGGTGGGAAAGAATTTGTCTTTTAGTTTTACCAAACCTTTTTTTTTCTTTTTGCTGAACATTGCCTATTTTAGTCCTTTTATGCTTACTTAAGTTTTTTGTGATTTGAGGGCTCTTTTTATATCGAAGGTAGCAACTCTCACCTCCAGCCTCGCAGTGGGAGGATTCTCAGTAGCGACGGAGGGAGGAGGGAAGGGGCGCGCCTGAGGGCGGCCAGGTGAGGTCGCCGGAGAGGTAGGGGCCGGCAAGGGAAGGGCCGCTAGGGACTGGGACCCGGCCGGGGGCGGGGACGGGGGGTGCGCCCCCGGGACGCGCGTGGGGCCGCGGCTGGGAGCCTGCCCAGCCTGCCCGGCGCAGCCCTGGCCCCCTGGCCCCTCGCCCGGCCCCGCCCCGCCCGTGGGGCATCCTGGGTGCGGGGGCGGGGCGGGGCCGCCCCTTTAAGCGGCGCGCGGCCGCGGGGACAGTGGCCGCCCGGTCTGGAGGCCGCTCTGCGCCGCAGTGCCCGCCGCGTCCCGCGCCCAGGCATGGCCGCCCTGCTGCCCCTGGGCCCGCCGCCCGACGAGCTGGACTTCATCCAGGCCTACGAGGAGGTGCGGGAGAAGTACAAAGGTATGGCGCCGCCGGCCCCGCGCACCCTGAGGGCGACCTGCCGTTCGGCCGGGCCCTGGCAGGTCCTCCAGCCTGACAGCCCGGCCTCTGACCCCTTGTCCGCCGTGGCCGGTCCGATCGCGGCCCAGGCAGAGCCCGGCCCGCCGCCTCGCCGGTCCCGCTTGACACCCGCGGCTGCGGCGCCCAGGGAACAGGCAGGAGCGCCCGGCGGAGCCCCCGCGGTCATGCCCTTAATAGGGCATCGCGCGGCGAGGGTGGTGGGGTGGGCCGCGCCGCGGGCGGGGGCTCGTGGGGCCAGTGTCCAGTGTCCCCAGTCTGTGCCCAGCAGACACGTGGGTCAAGGCCGAGCCCTCCCCGTGCCCCTCAGCGGGGTGCCTCCCCTGTGGGGTGGGGGCCGCTGCCGCACCTGGCAGTGGGTCACATACTTGTGGCCTCTCCTCACATCTCCAAATGGGCCAGCCCCTGGGCTGCCACCCTCCCTTGGCAGGGAGCTCCTTACATCCCTTCTCTTTACCCTGGGCAGGCAGCTGTGTGCTGGGGAAGACAGGGCAACCCTCTCTTCCTTTTCAGAAGAAATGGCTCTCTCTGACAGACCCCCTTGCCCTGCTCCAGCGGCCCCCTGGGGTCTCTGGACCTACCCAGGCCCTCGCTGTTGTCAGCAGCCCGCACCCCAGCCCAGCTGCCCGGGTCTCTGGGCTCTGAGCAGGCACCATCACAGCCCTGGCTCCTGGCCCACACAGGCTTAGGGCCCTGACAGTGAGTTGCTGGAGAGGGTCGAGGCGGGGGCCTTGGGCAGAGCTGACCAGAGCTGTTTCCAGCTCCACATGGCTGGTATTGCTGGCTCTGCCCCTAAGGGCAGTTCCGGGAGAGAGGTCCTGCTCAGGCCTCGCCTTGCTCTCTACCCACTGACCTCCCCCAGGCACGGAGAGGTTTCATAGGGCCTAGGGCTCATTCCTGCCAGGCCACCCTCCCCTAACAGCTTCTGCTTGATCTCTGGCAAGGTGGCTGTGCTGTGTGGTTCTCCTGCCAGGGCTGTGGTCACCCCGTTGGCCTGGTCCTACCAGAGATGCTCC